GAAAAAAAAAAAAAAAAAAAAAGAAGAAGAACACTGAGACTTATAGTTCCTGAGCAGAGTACAGAAGAAGCCTTTATAGTGCACAGTGTTAAATCCCGACTCGACGCAGGGTTATAGCTACCATGGGGCGAGTTAGGCACTCGCCTCAGGCGCAGCTGAGAGGGGACGTGGCCAGGGCCGGCCTGGTTGCGCCCCCTTGCCCCTGTTCCATGGCGAGCACAGGGCGCCATTGGCAACAGGGGCGCCAGACCACCAACACAGCCACGGCTTGGCAGGGAGAAAAGGAGCGGCACAGGCTCCAGCTTCTCCTCAGACCCCCGCTGCATGGGCAGAGGACTCTGTGTCCTGAATCTCTTTTTCCATTTCAAAAGGGAAATGTCAGGGGTCTGTTGACCCCCTGGTATTTCCCCCCCGCCCGCCCCTCCCAACAGTAAAAAAAAAAAAAATTAAAAAACAACCACACATACACTCATGCACACATATTAGTAGACATCTGCAAAGACTAAATGAACGGAAACTAAAACTGTTTTCATAGGTTTAGTCAAACTAAACACATTTTTATGCTATTTTGGCGCCGCCATCCTGGAGGCGGGCGCATGACGCCGTACATGGCATAGGGTGACATAACACGTCTGTAGGGGGGCACATTTTCCTCTGACTCGACGTAAACCTTTTATTTATAAAATACACATAACTCTTGTATTTAAATTCGGGATGCACTGATATAATTTTTTGCAGACCGAGTATGATCACCGACACATTTCCTCAAAAACTAGCCGATACCAGTTACTGATACCTGAATCCAATGAAAAATTTAAAGGGCCAGTATCGGCTTTTAGTATCGGGGCATTTTCACGACTACTCATGAAAATGCCCAGTATCGGCATCTATACCAATACTGATATCGGTGCATCCCTAATTTAAATAGTGTTAGCTTATCCCCCTTTACATTCATTCTTCTGTAGCTCAACCAAACCCGGAGGATTCTCCACTCTGCAACTGAGAAATAAGTTGAACTTTATAACTGCTCAGTATATGATCTGTATCACCATATGATGAAAATCACTTTTGTCAAACAATTTTCAATAGTTATAAACAACGATGATGGGTTTGTTTGACTCCCATCTCTCACAGTCCCCTATGGGGAGTTGAATAGTCCAGCGTTTCTCCACCATTTTCCCGTTGCAGGATTCTTTAAAATCTCCAATGTAAAAAAACTGACATGAGGTGCCCCCCAAAATCTATCACAAACCCTTACCCTGGATAGGGGGCTGGTATGGATTTTAGAGGGGGGACCACATGAGAAAAAAAAACCTGGGGGCAGGTGACCAACCTGTATTGCTTCACTGCAGTACAGTAAAGAAAAGTCACTGACTTGGCCAATGTTTCTAGCAGAAAAACTTGGATGACAAGACTGCCTGCAGGAAAAGACTCGCCCTCGTCAGGTCGGGTAAAACAATTTATACATCTATTAGCTGTGTATTTAGCCATTTGCCTGGAATTCAGTTTTGATTCTTCAAAAAGGTTGAGAAATGCACCAACCACGACATTGGGGACCATGACAAAGAGCTACTGTGATGCCACACGTATCTGGCAGCATCATTCTACTGGGAATCAAACATTTATAGTAAATACAAATGCTAGCTAATTTTTTCCCCACTTCTTAATACCCCATTTCCTGAACGAAACAGCGTGAAGAACTCACCATATGGTGTCAGTATCCAGGAACTTCAGTGCGGCCGCAATCAGCTGCTCTTTACTCTTCTGTGTCGGGTTATCCAGGGCCGTGTTACACAGTGTGGTCTGCAGAAGACATCAATACAACATGAACACAATACTGTGCAGAGTATGAGATGCTGTAATGCCCAGAACTGCCACTAGGGGGCACATCCTCAAGTCACACCTTTGACACCTCCATGCAATTTAACCACTTCAGGACCATATGCTGTACATGTTATGTCCTGGTCTTGAAGTGGTTGTACCAAAATCAGGGCTGCCGCAGGTGATGTGTGCTCATTACAAGTGATCTGGGAAGCTGTAAAGCCGCCCAGATCACTTGTATCAGCATGCTAATGTGCTGCATCCTCCCCCCAAACCCTGCACTACCAAACCCCCCACTGTGGTTTTCGGGGTTCCTGGCTCCCCTGATGCCACGGATGGAGGGAGAAGAAGCAGACTGAGGAACGTCCGTTCCCTGATCTCCTCTGCTATAAATGAAGAAGGGAATGCTGTGCTCTCAGTGCTTACTGCTTCAGAGCGGACAGAAGCCGGCTGAAGTGATGGTTACACAGGCCATCAAGCACATTCCTGTGTTTGATCATCTGTACTGGAGAACAAAAGAGACATCAGGGGTCTAATAGGCCCCTGATGGCTCCATAAAGAGAACCTGTCACCTCCAAACGCAATCACATAGGGGATTGTTAGCCCCTGTGTGATAGCAATAAACTTAAGTGAATGTTTTTTTTGAAAAAACGATAAAACAAAATGGGAAAAATGAAAACCAACCCTGCTGCCCCTATCATCTGCATGTGAATAAACACGTGGCGTACGGCATGCACATGTAGATAAATGACAATTTCGCCACACATGTCGGGTATCGCCTCCAGCGTCGGAGTGAGAGTAATAATTCTGGAGCCATAATTCCCTATAAACTCTAAACCGATGTGCAGCAAAGGCTTTTAAAACATCAATCATCGCCTGTGGACATTATTAAGTAGAGTTGGGAGACCCTGAAAACGGTCTCCCAACTGTCCTCCTGCGTTGTCACCCTGTCACATGCACCACTGGGGGCAGACTACAAGTAGCTGCGGTGACGCATATTGCTCAGGCACCGTTGTCATTACTAGGACGCCAGTCCAAAGCAATGATGTGCAGCCGACCTTGGAGCGAGTGCATGAAGACAGGAAGTGGATGAAAGGGGCTGCAGGAGATTCAGCAAATCAATGTTATCCAGTCGGGGTGTAAGTCGGCTTCATGCATTGATCATTGCCATGGCCTGTTCTGCCAATACTACTTCCTATACACATACAGTAAGTTGGGACCTTCTTGGACTCCGGTACAAGACTCTTACCAGGTGCATAGTGAAGAATTTTATTGTGTCCTTCTGACTATCCCATTCAGTGGCCACGGCAAGTGCCAGAGGTTCGCTGGGCACCTCAAAGACTTTTCCCTGCGGAGTTCTTAACTTCCTGCGATCCAGATTAATTTCAAATCCTCCTGTAAATAGATGTTTTTTAAATGCATCATCTATACTTAGTCACATTATCTATATGAAGCTGAACGCCAGGCAGGTATGGAAAACAGTCATGAATGCAGCTCTGTAAACATTAAAAGGAGAACTATGAGGTGAGAGAAAATCACTCAGCCTCATAGTTTGAGCCGACATGTGACAATAAGACTGTCACAGGCCGGCTCAATAGATCGGGAAGTGAGCGAACACATACTCGCTCGCTCACTTCTCGATCCTGTCCCTGCAGAGAGCCGTGACTGTCACTCACGGCTCCCTGCAGGGATTCCCCAGCTCCCCTGTCCGATCCTCCAGAGCTGACTGGCGGAACGGACGGGGGAGGGGGCGAGTACAGCTGGCTCTGCCTCTAGATAGGCAGAGCCAGCTGTCAATCACGCAGCTGGGTGGATCCAGACATAATTGTCAGGATCCGCTTCAGCTTCTTAGTATACCGCGAGCTGTAGCTCGCGGTATACTGAGCTTAGGGTGACCGACAGGAATGTCGGGATCCGTCCCGCCTGCGGCGGTCTCAGTATACTGAGCTTTGGGTCCTCCGGAAAACCGGCTTCCCAGCCAATCGGGAGGGGAAGGCGAGTAATGACCCACCTCCTAGCTTCCTGATTGGCCGAGAAGCCGGCTCAATGCTGATGGTCTGGAATGCCGGCTTCCCAGCCAATCAGTGTGAAGCCGCGTGTTTGGTTGGCTTGATGCTGATTGGCCAGGAAGCCGGCTTCCCGGCCAATCAGCATGGAACCGGCTTCCCGGCAAATCAGGAAGCCGGGAGGCGGGTAATTACAGTTCCCAAGCTGGTTCCCTGTTCCCCTTCCTCTAACCAGAAGTTCCGGTATCAGTGAAGGTAACAGAGCATTTGGGTGAGTATGAGTACTCGCCCAAATACTCGGTATCGGCGCCGATACTGATACTAGTATCGGTACATCCCTACTTTGGCCTAAACCGTACTTCAGCACTGCCTCACCATTTCACAGTCAAGACCAGGGGTGGGCAACTCCGGCTCTCCAGCTGTTCTTCAACTACAAATGCCAACATGCCTCTGGGAGTCATGTCTGTAACTGTCAGTTCTGCAATGCCTCATGGGGCTGGAGGGCCGGTGTTGCCCACCACTGCTCTAGGCCCAATAAAGATTTGCTGCTCTGGCCTTTTTTTTTTTTCACGCATTCCACATGTTCAAAATCATCAACCTTGGTGCCTTGAAGATGATTGCCCCAAAACCTGGAAAAAATTAAAATTGCCATTTGTGGCGTTAATGTTGCAGTTTCAGGGGCCCTATAAACTGATATCTGAGCCACAAATCAGCGCCTGGTTTGAGAAGGCGCAGATCTGCACGTCAGGCTGACCTCTGATAAGCGTCTGTACAGACATTTGCCATAGGGAGCTGTGAGATGCTGCCTCCTCCCTCCTTCTTCCGAGCTGAGCATTCGGCAGGCTCTCTGTGATTAGTGTCCAGACTCATCAGGGGGAGCGGAAAGCTCTGTGTTGCTCTCTCCAACCGGTGATCACTTCCAGATCAGAGAGAGAAGAGAGGGCAGAAAGCATCACAATGAGCTGCTATAGGTCACTGTATTGCTCCCTGCACAGTGACAATGTACCGGGTGTGCCCTGTCCCTGTGCAATATGCACCTAACAAACAGAGATCCCTCAGGCACCTTTGTTTATCAGGGGCACTGTGTGCACACACGTATGCTGTATATGGCGCAGTATCCATGTACAGTTTGTCAGACCCTCTGCCTTGTTTTGTCTGAAGGGTCAGCTGCAGGGGCGTAACTGGAAATCACAGGGCCCTATAGCAAAATTTTGTATGGGGCCCTGTGATTTCTAGTTACGCCCATTGCAGACCCCATCTGCGATCCCAAACAGCCCACCTGAGAGTGACCCTGCAGAGCCCACCATAGACTCTCTATGGTGGATTCTGCAGGGTCTCAGGTGGGCTGGTCACATCACTGCACATCTCTTACCTCTCAGCCCCAATCCGCTGTCAGCCTTCTCCAAAGCCAGGCCCCGCCTCCTCCTCCGACGCCGGGCACCGCCTCCTCCGCTGCTGTCTGTCACTGACTCAGCGCGTTCCTCCTCAGAGCCGCGAGTGACAACCAGCAGCCTGCGAAGACATTGCGACCCAGGCGGCCAGCACGGCATCAGGGGGAACCCTTTGTTTCTCATCCTGACCGGGCCCCTCGTGCCCCATAGCGGCTGCCTGCGTCGCCATAGTTCCGCCACTAGTCAGCTGGTAGCCAGGAGGCAGCCTGGTAGCTGTCCTGCCACCAAATCTATCCTCACCACCAGGGACTCTAGTATGGGCCAGGCAGTTCTAGAGACTCTTGTCACACAGAGGCCGTTTTTTTTTATCATAATGGAACAAACAAACACAGACAGTCCTGAAGTCAAATACCCGAAGAGGAGAAGCCTGCAATACTCTGAACGGCAAGACACTTACCTTCACCTTGGGAAATACTGACATTTTCATAAAACTTCTTTTTTTCTGCAAAAAGGGAACAAAGTTGAACATCAGAAATGTGTAACAAGTAAAGATGACAGAAATAATGAAGTCTTGTATATGACATTTGGGCATTTCCTCAGTCTCCCCTCCCCCCAGTGATCAGATTGTACATTATAACTTTGTAGCCGTTCACAAAGATAAGAGTCTGCTTCAGGGGCTGATTTGTGTCCAGAAATTTTTGAACACAGCCAGGAATTGCACAGACACCAGAATTTACATGATTGGTTATCTCTGAGGCAGCATCTCAGTCCAGGAAGTAGATGGGAGTGAATTCCCTCACTCTCTGCTCACCATTAGAGGGTGTATAGAAACGTTTCTCTGAGCGGAAAGCGTCCACTGAGCACAGGGAAGGATAGAGGCGCGGGCTCAGAGCTACACGCCTGGCAAAGATGGTGCGGAGACTCTGCAGCATTGTTTCTGGTTGTGGCAGATGCTTGAAGACACTGCAAGAGAACAAAGATGAAAAAAATACTTTATATAATATATATTTATACACAGACATACTATACATGTGTATATGACGAATGGAACGCTACATCAAGAACTAGCACTCTATGAACATCAGCGATTCACTAATCTGTGAATGTTTAAAGCTGATTGGAGGCAGAACCTGTAACATTCACCTTATAAACACATAGGGATTGGAGGCGGAGCCTGCAACATTCACCTTATAAACACATAGGGATTGGAGGCGGAGCCTGCAACATTCACCTTATTATAAATACAGTGATCAGTACCATTAACGATATCAGGTGTATGAGGGAACTCCCAGACTTCCTCCTGCATTCTGCCCCCTCCCCCCCAGAACTCCCCTGCATTCTTCCTCCCCCAGACCTCCCTGCCATTTTTCGCCCTCCCCCAGATCTCCCCCCCTCATTCTTCCCCCACCCTCCTCTCAATTCTCTCCCCTCCTCCCAAGACCTCCATTTTTCCCTTCCCACTGTTGCCCAATCCTCCCCTCCATTCTTCCCTCCTTTCCCCTTCTGGCTTCCCATGACCAGCCCCTGCCACCCCAACCTCCCCTCTATTCTTCACTCCCAGTACTCCACTACTTTCTAATCCCCCACACACAGATCTGCCTTTGTTATCCCCATTTCCTGATCCCATTGCATGTGATAGAATGCTAAATGCAATATAACGGGGACCTAATTTTTCTCATGTGTGGCGCTGGGGTGGCACATTAGATGTCCCCTCTTAAGGCAAATGATGAAAGTAAAAGTATGAAGTGTCCACAGAGATGGATGACAGGTCCTCTTAAATAGTGTATGAGGGGATGTGATTGGCTGCAGGGTGTCACTGATACACATACCGGCCTGTAGGGGGGCAGCAGAACTCCTCCAGGTCACACAGAGTAGCACTAGTGGCTCCAGCGGGGTAAAGTGTATGTGGCCCCTGGATCCATCC